TATCAACAAAATGTCACTAATATATACATAATATTAATATTAATTATTTTTAACTAATTTAGAAATAGGAATTTTATTTTATTAATTTAAATATTTTTACGATTTTTTTAATTTTTCTAACTTTTACAGAAATATCCATCGACATCAACATTTTATCGATATTTCCATCAATATCGACATTTAAAACCTTGATTATAACACCACAACTATTTAATAACTAAAGTAGAATGTGGACGTGGTAGAAATAAAAAATACTAAATAGGAAAACATCACAATAATCAGTATTATTCAACGTCGGAATCAAATGAAGGTCGTACCAGAGCTACGAGGCTAAGTATTGCATGACCGAAAAATTCAAGGAGGGGCATTTAAGTGTGAGTAGTGGCAGCCACCAGCAAGGTCACGAGTACCATGCCGCAAAGCTCCGAGTGAACCTGAAATAGGCCATGTACCCTTTGATGAAAGCCCTAGTTGCTCCGACCCTACAGACCAAACTCCAATTTCTAAGAAAAAATGTTAAAGCCAAAAAAAAAAAAATGTTAAATGAGTTACTTGTAAATAACTTTATAAGTTCTAAAAAAAATTGTCATTCACAAGTCTTAAAAAACTCATCTGTATTACGCGTGGAAGAGAGAGAGATAAAACTTTTTATTAATCAAAAATCTCTCTTACACCTGTGATATTAAAATCATCACAATTAAATACATTAGTTTGTGTAACCGACTAACTAACTAACACGAGTTAATAACAAACTAGGGTAAAATAACTCTAATACTCCCCTTCAAGATGGAGTGTAAAGATCAAAGACACCCATCTTAGACATAAGAAACCGCAAGGTAGATGAGGGAAGAGCCTTAGTAAACATGTCAGCTAGCTGGGAACTTGAACGAATAAGTAGAAGCTTGAGAAACCCATCAGCAACTTTGTCACGAACGAAATGGCAATCAATCTCAATATGTTTAGTCCGCTCATGAAACATGGGGTTTGAAGCAATAGAGACAGCAGCTTGATTGTCATAGTAAACAACAGCAGGAGGAGAAAAGGATATACGTAAGTCAGTGAGTAACTGCCATATCCAAAGAAGTTCACTCGTGACAGCTGCCAAAGCTCGATATCTGCTTCAGCAGATGAGCGAGAAACAGTGGCCTGTTTCTTAGATTTCCAAGAAACCAAGGAATCACCAAGGAAAACACAAAAACCAGTCACAGAACGACGTGTGTCAACACAGGAGCCCCAATCAGCATCAACAAAAGCACGAAGGCCAAATGAAGAGGATTTGTGTAATAAAACACCTTGACCAGGAGAGCCTTTTAAGTACCTCAATAAATGATGTACAGCATTTAGATGACCCGAGCAAGGCTGTTGAAGAAACTGGCTCAATTTATGAACCGTAAAAGAAATGTCTGGCCGAGAGATCTGTAAGTATAATAGGCCCCGAGTAAACGACGATAAGCAGTGGCATCTTTAGTAGAAAGTGGATCACCATCAGTTTTAGAAAGCCGAAGGTGTGGATCCATAGGAAAAGCAGCAGAACGAGCACCAAGAAAACCAGTGTCTTCAAGAATTTGAAGGCAATACTTTCGTTGAGACAAAGATATACCACGAGATGAATGAGAAATCTCCAATCCTAAAAAATATCTTACTGAGCCCAAGTCTTTAAGCTGGAAATGAGACTTCAATACTTCTTTAACCAAATTAAGAACATTAGGTGAAGGCCCAGTCAAGATAATATCATCAACATAGACTAGTAATGCAACAAAGGTATCACCATGCCCTCTAGTAAATAGGGAATAATCTGCTTTAGACTGAACAAATCCATGAGAAAGTAAAGCACACGAAAATTTAGTGAACCACTGCCGAGAGGCCTGCCTTAACCCATAGATGGATGTATTAAGCTTACAAACAAGAGAAGTGTTGGAAGGGATCTCCCCCTGTCGAGGAGTATATCCAAGGGGTAAAGACATATACACTTTTTCAAATAAATCTCCGTTAAAGAAGGCATTATTTACATCCATTTGGGCAAGGGGCCAACCATAAGAAGCAGACAAGGTTAACAAAACCTTCACAGTCACAATCTTAGCTACAGGAGAAAAAGTATCAATGAAATCGATACCTTCTTGTTGGTTGTACCCTTTGGCAACAAGGCGGGCTTTGTAACGATCGACTGTGCCATCTGCTTTATATTTAACACGATACACCCATTTCGAGCCAATAGCATGATGATGAGGTGAAAGAGTAACAACCGACCATGTATTAGTCCTCTCCATAGCAGCCAACTCATCATCCATGGCCTTCCTCCAATGTGGAAATTGAACAGCTTGATGAAAATAAACAGGCTCAAACTTTGTAGACACATTAAGAATAAAGTGTCGATAGTCAGGAGACAAGTTTTCATAAGACAAGAAATTCTATAAAGAATAAGGCATGGTGGCTTTAGGAAAAAACCCTTGTAGCATATTGCAATGAAAGTCCTTCAAATAAGAAGGAGGGTGTCTCGAGCGTCGAGGTCGACCGATCAAAGTAGGAAGAGGCTCATTATGTTGAGGAGCAACAACACCATTATGCTGATAAGTGGTAATATCAGCTGGCGAAATATCTCGAGAAGGAGAAACCTCATCAAAAACAACTATTACATCATGGGGCTGCTGTACAACTGATGCATTTGGACATATAGGCTCAACAATAGGTTGTTGTACACCAATGGACTGTGGTACAACTGATACATCATTGGGCAGTGGTACAGACGGTGTGGCTGTTAAGTCAAAAGCTAAAAGGCTGTCAGCATGAGCAGTAGAGGTAAAAGGTGAAACATCACCATAAAAAACAGTGGGCATAACAGTTGACGAAGAAACTGAAGAACCCAATGGACATGGACCAACAGACTCATCAAAAACTGCAGTAGGTAGAACAAAACTGTCCAAAAATTCAGATATAAGAGAGTCCTGTGTAGAGGTTAATGAATGAAACGGAAAGATATCCTCAAAAAACACAACATCACGAGATATGAACAAATGCTTCTTAGTAACGTCATATAACTGATAACCTTTAACACCAGCTGGATACCCCATAAAAATACAAGGTCGAGCACGCGGATCAAACTTAGAACGGTGTAAAGGCATGGTAGATGCATAAGCAAGACAGCCAAAAACTCTGAGAGAAGAGTAATCAAAACTATGCCCAAATAAAACTTCATAAGGCGATAAATCAGAAAGCAACAACATAGGCGTGCGGTTGATCAGATAAGCAGCAGTCAGTACACAATGGCCCCAAAAATGCAACGAAACTCAAGATTGAAAAAATAAAGCCCGTGCTACATTCAAAAGATGTTGATGCTTTCTCTCAACAACAGAATTTTGTTGAGGTCTGTTAACACAAGAGAATTGATGCAAAGTACCAGTTGAAGCAAAAAATTCAGCGAAACGGAGTTCAGGGGCATTATCTGATCTGAATACCTTGATACCCTTTGAAAATTGAGTGTCAATCATCTTGAAAAAACTTGGTATTATGAACAAAGCATCAAATTTACGTCTCATAAGATAAACCCACGTGAAACGGGAACAATCATCAACTAATGTCAAAAAATATGTATAACCAGCAGAAGTAGGGGTGCGAAAAGGTCCCCATACATTACAATGAATCAAATCAAACGTGGAATGAGAGACATGATTATTAGCAGAAAATGAAAGATGCTTTTGTTTAGCTAAGGGACATATATGACAAACACTAGATGAACAACCATCAGGAAGGCACAAAGGTTGTTTTAAAATTTTCAATCTAGCGTGAGAAGAATGTCTCAGGCGCTTGTGCCAAATATCACTGGAAAGGCGATAAGCAAGAGCATGAACAACAGTTGGTAAAGGTAGAATGAGGGAATAAAGTCCATTAGCACAATCAGCCCTGCCAATCGTCTTCAATCGCAATCTGTCCTGAATGAAGCAAGAATCCCCATGAAATTCAAGCGAAAAGGAACCATGTTTGAGTAAAGAACTCACATATAGCAAATTATATGTAAATTGGAGCACATAGAGCACATCATGGAGAGTAAGTTCGGTTGATAAAGATACCGAGCCAATAAACTCAACTGAAATCCGTGAATGTGTTGGCAAAACAACATTAACATGAGAAACAGGACGAATATCCAAGAACAGAGACCTCTGATGGCAAATATGACTAGCAGCGCCAGAATCGATAATCCAAGTATTTGTATAAGCATCATCATGTGAAGTTAAAGCTGGAATAGAAGTACCTGTCAGATGAGACACCACAGAAGAATTTGTGTCTGGTTTTACTCCTTGAAGATGTGACTGCAACATCTCAATTAGCTGAGTGTATTGAGTAGAACTCAGGCTATTGAAGAATGAAGGAGAAGATTGCAATGCTGCGTGACCGATTGGTGCAAGAGAAGGCTCAACAGGTTTGTCAGATACTTGATTAACAGCAGTATGAACGCCAGAAGCAGAGCTATTTTGGCCAGATCGAGGATTGTTCGAGTTGTTCGGATTGTGAGTACGATATCCAGGTGGATATCCATAAAGTTTGTAGCACTTATCAATAACATGTCATCGAAGTCCGCAATGAGTGCAAAAGGAACGATTATCTTTTCGGCGGTATTGATTTTGTTTCTTCGAGTTCTCTGTAGCGGCTGCCATGGCCATAGGCTCGAAGGAAGGAGACATAGTGCCGATTGCTCTTTGATGTTCTTCTTGAATCAGTAAGGAAAACACCTTATTAATGGGAGGAATCGGATCCATAAGAAGAATCTGAGCCCTAACATTAGCATAAGACTCATGAAGCCCCATGAGAAAGATCATTACATATTCAGATTGGAGGTATTCAAGAAGAGACTTCAATCCATCACAAGAACAAGTTACCATGGGTCGATATTCAATTAGTTCTTGCCAAATTGTCTACAATTTTGTGTAATAAGCTTCAATCGACATTGATCCATGCACTGTGGTAACGAGTTCCTTTCGGAGTTGAAATATGCGTGGACCGTTGCTTTACTGAAAGCGTTCCTTGAGCTCATCCCAAATTTCCTTCGCAGATCCAGTGTAGACAAAACTTGCAGCAATTTCCTTGGATACAGAATTAAGAATCCAAGAAGTAATGATATCGTTAATACATTTCCACGCCGCGAGAAGATTTCCTTTTGGCTTTTGAATAGTTCCGTCAACGAATCCGACCTTATTCTTACCAGATAACGCAATAATCATGGATCTTGACCATGAATTGTAATTGCTTGCTCCCAGTAACTGTTGAGTGACCAATATAGTAGTTGGAGCAGTCGAATGGTGAATCAGATAAGGATTGAGTTGAGACTCAATTGCTGTGGTGTTTTCCACGGCTGAATTTTGAGCAACAGAAGTCTGCTGTGTAATTGGATCAGGAATAACACTCTGATCAACAAGATCTACCATGTGAGGAGAAGAAGAAAAGAGAAAAAATTTTGTGAAACTTTTCTTCGTAAGGCAAAAATGGCAAGTTTACGCGAGAACTCTGTATTTCGCTCTGATACCATATTACACGTGGAAGAGAGAGATAAAACTTTTTATTAATCAAAAATCTCTCTTACACCTGTGATATTAAAATCATCACAATTAAATACATTAGTTTGTGTAACCGACTAACTAAATAACACGAGTTAATAACAAACTAGGGTAAAATAACTCTAATAATCTGGCTGCTCCTAGCGTTTCACAACCATTGAATAATTATCACTTTTATGTTTCTCTCGATAGTTGATCTAATAAAAGCCTCCACATTTAAGAATATGCCGACAGTGAAAAAGAAAAAAGCATTAGTCAAGCAAAGCCCATAAAACAGAGTGTGAAAAGTTGAAATTTCGTGTGCAGTAATTGTTGTTTATTGCAACCTTTTTAATATCGACCAATTGTTTGTCAAAATTACGACATAATAAATACAGCTATGGTTGGCCAATGATGTTGAGAAAATTAATATATTGGTCCAAATTCAACCTTTTTTAATGGTCTAGAGTTTGAAGAGGAAAAAAATAAATATTTCAAGTAGACTTTTTTAATTTCATTTCCAAGGAAATTTAAAGAAGTTTCAAGTTTCACGTGGGATTTCTGTAAGTTTGTACTTTGTAGGCTTTTGGTGGGTGGACACAATTATATTAATTAACTTTTGGTTATTATTTGATTTTGATTGTTTGATTTTCATACTTATTTTTATTTTGGTTTCTTTAAGATTTAAATATTATTTTTAGTCTCTAGCTAAATTGTTAAATATTCTTATTTTAATCTCTAAAACATATGCCTAAAATGTGTTTTAATTCTCTTTCATTTTGAAGCTCAACATTTGACCTAGTCCACGTACTTACTCAAATAAATGATTAAAAAAACGGCTTATATTAAATTTCTATTATGTAATCTACAAAATTAAATAAATAAAGGTAATGAGTAACATATATCTTTATGCAAATTTAGATATGAAAACAAAAGGTTTGATAGCTAGTTAGAGGATCAGAATAGAATTTGAAACTAGTTTTCAATTTATATTCTATTTTAATCTTTAAGACTTTTCAAAATTAACACAAATCCTTATTACTATAATTTTTTTATTATATGTAAATAAAATTTTATATCGCATAATTTTAATTTGTGTTCTAAACGCCAATAAAAAAAAAAGTTTGTGTTCTAGAATGTCACATGTATATTAAGTTTGTTTTTAAAAATTAATCAGGCTACTTTCATCTATATATTTTTTGTTTTGTTATCTCCCTTTTAAAAATGCTTTTAAAATCTAAGTTAAATTTTTTTAACTAAAAATGTAGCTTTTAAAATTTTATTTTCACTTTGAAAGAAATATCAAAATAAATTAAAATAATGGTAGAAATCAAGCATAATTCTTAATAAGAAAAACAAAAAATAAGAAATAATGTTTAGGAGTATAAGGACTCTACAAAAGAAAAAATCAAAATAAATGTTACAAGTCCAAATAGTCCTTAATTTTTCCTTCTAAAAAAAATGGATTGGTAGATTGAAGGAAATGACAAGGGATCGGATCCACGTGGGGACTGGGACACGTGCTCCTGGATTTTAAATATATTTGTTACAGGTTATTTCAATATAAAAATATATATATATATATATAGTGTTCCTGGGTAGTTCACTAACCCCAAGCTAAATGCCCCTTCCTCTGCGTTCACATCCTTTTTTTTCTTTTTTGCTTTTCATTTTTTTTTTCAAATATATTAGTCGCATCCTGAATTCGAATCATGAGTATGTTTTTTATTTTTATTTTTATTTTGTTTCTTCTTTTTAGCGTATATTTTAATTTTAATTTTTTGTTTTTGTTTTTTAGATTTTTTATTTTCTTTTAATTTTTCTTCTTTTAATATATTAGCATTGTGCTAGCATCTTTTTTTATTTTCTTTCAATTTTTCTTTTTAAATATATTAGTCTCGACGTCCTGAGTTCGAATCAAAGATAGAGCATGTTTTTAATTTTTATTTTGTTTCCTTTTTCAGCGTATTTTTTTATTTTATTTTGATTTTGCTTTTTTAAATACATTTTGATTGGGGTGTAATTGAATCTCAAAACTATTTTGATTTTTAAACATTGTTTTTTTAGAAAGATGTATTTTTTATTTAAAATAAATAATTCGAAAAGTTATTTTTTATTAATTTTTTTAATAAATTTAAATTGATTATCCTAACCTTATATAAATGTCATAATTTTTAGTCCTCTATTTAATAAAAAAAACCTTACTAATTTAATAAAAGATCAAGTTTGCAAATTAAGTTTGATTGATAAAAAAAAATTTAATATTAAACCAACTCTAATCTCGTTTTTTTTTTTTTCTAAATCCTGTCAATTATTTCATACCAATTTTCTTTTTTACATTTGACACATGAAAATATTTTTTCCAACAAATTTTCAAATGAAAATCTATCGAATGATAAAATTTGCGACATATATGAAAATTACAACACTTTCTTAGGTGCAAATTGATATATATACATTGTCAAGTTAAAATTTAAAATTAATATTTTTCTATTATGTTTATATGCATTTGTGCTCCTAACATAAAATCTTCGATCTCAATCTGCCACCGATGATAAGTTTGGATTTATTTTTCCCCTCACTGTTTTGGTACGAGGGAAAGTTCAGTCCAAATTTATTAAATAATGTGCAAATTCTTGTCTGTGAGAAAATGTAATATAATTTGAGAGGAAGCTATATTTTTTTTTTGCAAAGGAAGTTATATGTTTATTTGAATTTAGGAAGTTGAAATTTTAATATAGAAAGAAAGAAATAAAATCAATGAAAATGAAGTTGCTTTTTAAAAAAACAATTAAGGAAAGAGGATAAATAATTCACACGTGGAGGTGTGAATATATACCATATAACAGTCAACATTTTCCAAATCTTTTTTAAGTCATGTGATATATTTTTTGTAATTTTTAAATAAAAAGAAACATATAAATTATTCTTCATATTATCCACATTATTGTAAAGAAAATAATTAAATTTGGATCTAGAAAATGTGTAGAAAACAGTGTATTGAGAGAGAGGTTTAAACATTCAAAGGAAACCTCAAAAAATAAAAATAAAATCGACATCATAGAGCTTGTTAATTATAATAATTTTTTTTTTCTAAAAGAAAATATAGAAAACTATTTGTGAAGCACCAAACTTGCGGCTGGCTATGCTAGAAGAAACTTAAAGCAAAATCATATATAAAAACAGTATTGTTTTTTTCTTTTTAAAAATAAGAAATAATTTTTTGACAGCTGGAATGAAATTTAATGCGTGGGAAATATTATTTGGGGAAGAGATCTTCTTGTGAAAAGCTTGAGATAGAGTGTGGGCAACAAAGATTAATTATCATATACAGTAATAAATGATCCAAAGTCAATCATTTTTCATTTGTCAACCCATTCAAACCACATCGTGGGAATTTGGTGGAGAAATCGTGGATGCGCGATTATGGTCACACATCAGCTAGCGATCTTCTACATATTTTAACGATGTCTTAGTTGTTAACTTGCAATCAAAACTTTACACCGATATGGTGTATCAGTACGACTGCTTACACTTCGAAACTTAAAGTTAGAACTTAGTCCAAACTAATTAATGTTTAGTTGAATTTATATAGAATAATACAAAGAGATGGCATACTTTTAAAAGATGATGTTCCATCTTTTATAAGAGGAGCATAGAGAGGTGTTGCGTTATTGTGACGCTTTCGTACTGTCATTCAATGAATGTTGGGCTCTTCCCCTGTGTTCTCGACGTGCCAAGCGGAGGTCCAGAAACATCCCGATGAGAGAGCCACATATTTTGCATTTGATTTTACACCTAACAAATAGTATTTTAAAAATGTTACGACGTATTATCTTTTTCAATTATAGAATAAATTCAACTTTTCTTGTGTTTTACATTATATTTGGGCATTTTACTTTGATTTTGATTTGTATTATATTCTCTTTGTAAAATTTTAAACTTTCTACTTTATTTGACAATACAGATATTTGATGTTATTTATATAATTGTCTAAAATTTTGGCCTTAAAACAAGGATGATGTAGGTAAAATCTTAGGTTATCTCTCCTAACACTTCGGAAGAGGATGTTCAAAATTTGACACTACGGTGTAGAGCATAGAATTGCTTTATTTATGCTTGAATCAAAATTATATGCTTCTTCATCCACTCAAACAAGTTATATGATTGGTGGAAAATCCAACAAAACTTAAAAAAGGTTCCAACATAAAAGGAGTGGATAATTGTGCAACTCTTTATTTTTCTTTTCCTTTTTTAAAGGTGGATTGATTAGTTCCAATACGAACGATTTTTCAATTATTACCAAAGTTCTTCAAATTCTAATCAAATATCTATCTCTTCTTTAACAACTAAACATATTAGGATTCCATCTTAAAATTATTGATGATGAGAAAGAATAATCCATATCTATAATAAACTTTTGTTATGTTATTATCTTTTCCGTACGAGATGCTTAAATAGAACAGTTATATATCAGTGATATTTAAAAATTTTCAATTTTAATATATATTAATTTTTTGTCATCATTATATGATGAATTGAAACTATAATAATTTTTTAAGAAATGAATACCCCTCCCATATAATTTATCCAACTTAAAAGAGCAAAAAACAATCCATTGGAAATGCTACTATGCTAACATGAAGACCACGTCAGCAAATTTAATTTAATTTCTTGTTTCTGTTAACGTAATAAAAATTGAGAAGATAATTAACAAAATTTGAAAATGGGAAATAATAAAATAATTAGGATGGAAGCTTACAACTGTCCGAAGCACAGTGAGGTGGAACAGACAAGAAAGCTTCGCTCTGACGACAATACGACAAGTCGTAATGTCCCCACCATCGTCGATTTCTCACTGCCCCATCCACGTGCCACTTTGACTCACCAAA